CTCTAGGCATGTCCTTCAGTCAGGACCGATGGGGTACCATGCTCATCATATATATATATGGTTTTACACAGGATTACTTCTGATTTGTAACTGTGAGAAGGAGCTTTGTATCTTTAGTATAAACTATTCTCTCGTGCTGGTTATCATAATTTGTTGCTCACAGCGAAGACATCTGTTTCTCACTTAAAGCCACTAGAGCAGTGGTTCTCAACCTTCCTAATGTCATGACCCATTAATTCACTTCCTCATGTTGTGGTGACCCCCAACCATGAAATTATTTTTGTTGCTACTTCTTAACTGTAATTTTGCTATTGTTATGAATTGTAATGTAAATATCTGATATGCGAGATATATTTTCTTTATTACAAATTGAACATAATTAAGAAAATCAAAGCATAGTGATTAATCACAAAACAATATGTAATTATACATTATGAAATGTTTATGTGTTTTCCGATGGTCTTAGGCGACCCCTGTGAAACAGTTGTTCGGCCCCTAAAGAGGTCACAACCCACAGGCTGAGAACTGCTGAGCTGGAGGACACAGCATGGCTCCAGTATGCAATTGTCATCCATAAACAGAAAAGCCAAACTGCCTCACAACAGCCTGCTCTAAATACTTAGTTTAGAAAAAAGACTAACTTAAAATCCTTAAGAAAGTCTGTGATAGTATGATATTAAAAACAACACATTGTCATCAATGGCACTGTCCACTAATGGTGAAAGTAAGTGTTACAAGGCTCTGGATACTTTTCACACATTTTTCTTTGGAAAATTAGGCTCTTTCTAGAGCTTCAGATTTTAATGTGGGGTAGGGCTTGTCAAATTCTGTATCAATAGCAGATTCCTTTCTGCTGGATCCTAAGCTTCCTACAAGATCTCCTACATAATTTTATATTACCAAAATAATCTTCCAGGCTCATTAAGATGGAAAAATTAGCCTAGTCTAAAAAAAACAAACAAAACTATCCCTCCACCTTGCTAACTTACAATGTTACCCCTTTTCTTTCTTCATGAACAAATTACTATGGTGTCAATTTTAAAATATTATGGCTATAGAGTAGAAGATTGAAAGTCAAAATACTTACAGAATCCTTTAATGTCGTTACTGTTAGGAGCCATCGAGTCAGTTCTGACATATAGCAACCCTATGAACCATGAACAAAACACTGCAATGTTCTGCTCATCCTCCCAATTGTTCCTATGCTTGAGCCCATTGTTGCAGCCACAGTGTCAATCCATCTGGTTGAGGGCCTTCATCTTTTTCACTGTCCCTCCACTTTACCAAGAATGATTTTTTCTTTAGGGTCTGGTCTCAATCCTAACATGTCCAAAATACGTGAGATGAAGTCCCACCTTCCTTGACTCTAAGGAGAATTCTGGCTGTACTTCTTCCAAGATAAATCTGTTTGTCCTTTTGGTACTCCAGGGTATTTTCAATAATCTTCACCAGCACCGTAATTCAAATGCATTGATTCTTCTTCGGGCTTTCTTATTCAATGTCCAACTTTCACATGCATATAAAGCCATTGAAAATATACCAGCTTGGGGTGGGAGGGGAGAGGAAAACAAAAGTGCCCCCTTAGGTCAAGGACATCTTAGTTCTCAAGGAAACATTCTTGCTTTTCAATACTCTAAGAGGTCTTGTGCAGCAGATTTACACAATGCCACACATCTTTTAATCTGACTATTGCTTCCACAAGTCTTGATTGTGGATCCAAGCAAGACACAATCCTTGACAACCAACCTTTTCTTGACTTATCATGATGTTACCTATTTGCCCAGTTGTGAAGATTTTGGTCTTCTTTACATGAGTTTTAATCCATACTGAAGGCTGCAATCCTCGATCAGTACCAGTAGGTGCTTCAAGTCCACCTCATTTTCAGTAATCAAGGTTGTGTCATCTACATATCACTGGTTGGAAATAAGCGTAACTCCAGTCCTGACGCTGTAGTCTTCTATATATTATCCAGCTTCTCTGATTATTTGCTCAAACAGTACATGATAGTATACACAATAGTGATGATAGAAAATGGGTGATTGAAATATGGATTTTTCACTGTGACATTCTCTGGTTTGTTTACACATTTTGAAAATAAAACATTGGGTGGGGGTTGCATGAGAAGGCCCTACGCTCACCAAGTCTAACTTTGTATGGCATGACTAATTGTTATATATTTAACCCAAATACTATTTATCTAAAGCAAGAAATAAATATGCCCATATAGCTCCTGGTAATTTTCAGTAATTACAAAAAAAAAAAAAACCTAAGCAGGGAACACATGTAAATCTTAAGTATTTACACAGAGAAGCTGTAACTCAATCTCAGACTACAGAAGAAAAAAAAAATAACCCACTGCCATTAAGCCAATACCAACTCATAACAGCCCTATAAGACAGAGTTGAACTACCCCACATCTTTGTCCAGTGGGGTCACTGGTGGTTTCAAATTGTTGACCTTTCTGTTACCAGCCAAGATCTTTTAATCACTGTGCCAGGAGGGCTACTCAATGACAGAAAAGAACACTATTATAATTGTACCTGCAAAGAGAATGATGACCAACTAAAGGATAAGTAGTTCTATATAAACTTAAACTATGGTGCACAGCTGGAAAGTAGTTTAATACAAGTCACTTTACTTTTAATGATGATTAAATGTTTAGAAATGTAAATTAATGTTAGATATAATTAAGTTTTAGAAATTAAATAATTTATAACTAATTAGAGCCACTCACTACTGGAAAAACATAGATAATACAATTTCTTATAATGTTCTTGAAAATTAGTTTGTCTATTTTCTACCCAAAACTCTTTAAAAAGTTCAAGACCCACTTACTCCAATTTGGCACCACAACAGCATAATGATTGAAAAGATATTTACTATTCCTCAGACAAATGTGAATCACTAGAAGAGGTGCCTCGGCTGTCAGTACCCTCAGTGACAGTGCCCACGCACTGCCATCATGTTGGATGTTGCCTCACAGCAACCCCATATAGGGTGTCTAAGAGTGCAATTTTTTAAAATCACTTTATTGGGGGCTCGAACAGTTCTTATCACAATCCATACATCCATCCATTGTATGTCAAGCACATTTGTACTTTTGTTGCCATCATCATTCTCACATTTGCTTTCTACTTGAGCCATTATTATTAGCTCTCATTTTTACCCTCCCTCCCTGCTACCCCCTCCCTCATGAACCCTTGATAATTTATAAATTACTATTAGTCATATCTCACACTGTCCGACATCTCCCTTCACCTACTTTTTTCTGTTGTC